TCCCAGTCCGCCCGGCGGAGCCGGGCCTCACGCCCTCCAGTGTGCCACGGAGCCGGCCCCGCCCGGCGCCCGCGGCGGGGCGATGTGGGTGGGCGGGCGGTCAGAGGCGGGGAGCGGGGAGCCCGGCGAGGGCGAGGTAGCGGGCGTCCGCCGCCGCCGCGAAGGGCGGGGGCCGGCACGCGCGGACAGCCCGATCCCTAGTTTTAGGTGGAATGAGCAGCATTTTGAATTGAACAGAAATAGGCAGAAGGCCATTTCAGATGATAACAGTTCTGTTGTACCATGATGAAATTCTTGGTATCCTATAGTGGACTAGCTGAATTTTGGACCATTTTCAAAGGCAGTCCTACATATCCTAATGTGTGATACTGTCATGTAAACATGTTCACTGTTTACTTAGAATGACCACTATTCCTAAAGTCCTCTTTTTCTCATTCACTGTGTGTGCAGCTTTTTCTTCTCACCACAAGACGTAGCCACTAGGAAGGCAGAGTTCCTCTAATTTGCTAAGGAACTCATGAATTCTACTTCTTTTGCACAAGCTTCTTACACAGGCAGCTACAGTACAGTTAGTCTGATTCTGCCATCAATACAACCAAGACAAAGGCCTGACTGGATCTGTGGAAGGAGGAGAGTGCAGGGTACATTTGAAGGTGCCCATCTCAAGAAGCAGCAGAGGGCTGAGGCACATGTGGCCCTCCAGTTGTTGTGGGACTTCAGCTCACCTCTGTCCCAGGTAGCATAGGCAATATGGCAATAAGGGATAATGGGAGGGGTGGTCCAGCAATATCTGGAAAGCCACACATTCCTCATCTCTGAAGCAGAGAGTTGCTCTGCCTGGCACATAGTGCTCTCCTTCAAGAAAGATGGAATTGGTTGAATCATAGAATAGCAGATTTGGAAGGGGCCACGAAGGCCATTGGTTCCAACCCCCTGCTGTTGCAGGTCACCAATTTACACCGTTCCACTGAGATGGCTGTCCAGTTTTTTTTGAATGTCTCTAGTGTGGGAGAGCCCACCACCTCTCTAGGCAGCTGTTTCCACTGTTGTATTGCTCTAACAGTGAGGAAGCTTTTCCTGATGTCCAGCTCTGAATCTGGGTTGCTGCATCTTGAATTGATTATTCCATGTCCTACACTCTGGCATTAGCAAGAGATCCTGACCTTCCTCTTCTTGACAGCCTTTGAGGTACATATGGAGGGATATCATGTCCCCCCTCAGTCTTCTCAAGGCTGAACATGCCCAGTTCCCCCAGTCTCTCATAGGGAAGTGTTTCCAAACCCTGCATCATTTTTGTTGTTCTCTGCTGGACCCTTTCTAATTTACCTACATCTTTCTTAAATCTTGGTGCCCAGAACTGGACACAGTATTCCAGGTGAGGTCTGACTAGTGAGGAGTATATAGGAACTACTACTACTGTGAATGCATCCCAAAACAGAATTTGCCCCCTTTCGCAGTTGCATCACATTGTCAGCTCATATTTAGCCTGTTGTCCACAACTCTAAGGTCTTTTTCTTTTTCCATTCTGTTGAGCCACATATCCCCCATCTTGTATTGATGCATTTGGTTTCTTTTTCCTAGCTGGAGGACTTTGTACTTGACCTTATTTAATCCCATTCTGTTGCTTTCAGTCCAGTGTTCAGATTTATCAAGATCACCCTGGATCTTCAGTCTTCTAAGCTGTTTGCTATTCCACTTAGTTTTGTATCATCTGTAGGTTTGATTATCGTTCCTTGTACTTCTTCATCCAAATCATTAATGAAGATGTTGAAAAGCACTGGGCCCAGGACTGAACCCTGTGGCACCCCACTAGTTACCTCCATCCAATTAGGATCAATCAAAAAGTCTCAACATACTGAACAAGCAATAACTAAACAATAATTCATTCAATCAAATGTAAAGCATCCTGTAGCCAAGGCAACCAGTGTGTAAGTCTGCAGACCGTACATAACCATTGTGTTAATGTGGTATCAACATCAGCTGCTTTTGGAACTATTTTTGGCAGTGTATTGTCCTTGGCAGTCAGTGCTCCAGTACATGCCTAGATCAAGCTCACCTGACACGAACTGTTTTTTCAGAGTTTTCTAAAACATTGTAAGGTGTGACCTTTATACATACTGTAAAATTCACAAGATAGCTTTGACATAACAAAACCAACTGAAAAAATCATTGCATCTTGATCTGAGTAATAGGAACTGGTCTCTGCTATGGTCAGCAAGCCTGGTCCAAATATTACAGATGTGGAAGAGGCTGCCAATGTTTGATAATTTGGAACTGAATCTTACAGATTTTGTTATGTACCTAAACTACCCTTTTTTTTAGTTTTCCACTTGTTTCTACCCCTGAATACCTAAGAATGAAATCAGGAAGAAACATGATACTCCATGGATCTGAATTTGGCCCAAAGATATTTGAATGGGTTCAGGAAAAAGTACTAATTGAAAAAATCCACTAGAGTTCAAATCTCCTTTATGCGCAGTTTGGAAACTTATCAACTGGCAAATACTTTTGCATGGCAAAGGAGCGGGTGTTCCACCCACTTCTACCCCATGCACCCTAAGGCAGTCTTTCCCAATCTGGTGTCTGCCAGATGCTTTGGACTACAAGTCTCAGCATCCTTCCCTATTGGTCATGCTAGTTAGCACTAACAAGAGTTGATGCCCAGAATGTCTGGCGGTCTTCAGGTTGGGAAGCTGCCTTAAATGAAGTGTATTGTGTGTCTCCCTTGTAGTTTCTTCTCCTTCATATGGCACTTTATTCTAAGTGGTACACAGACTGCCTGTACTAGGCTCCTTCACAATCGATAACAATGGGCCAGCTGTGTAGGTTTCTGGCCTGCCACTCAAACAAATTCTACATATCTTATTATAATCCTTTATTATTGTCTCAGGCAGAGCTGTCTAATGAACACACTCTCCAAGAAGGGCTCTATCATACACACAGCCTGCAAGAAATCAGCTGGTACTGTCAATTTGTGTCCCATCAACTCTGTTTAAGACATATTCCATGTGAAACTCCCTTTCTGGATGTTTTAATTTAATGGGAATGAAGGTGGTAGTGTTTGGTCCCTGGACAAGCAGGTTTCACCAGGAGCAGCTGGACTCATCTCACTAGAGGAAATGCCCTTCTTGTTTCCCATTGCAAAATCACTAGTATGTTCAATAAAAACCCCAACAGTTCTTCAGAGAAAGAGCCATAACTTAACTGCAGCTAGACAGGCAAAATTTCCCCAACTGTTACCCTTTCTTTGACCTGTGGCACATTCCTAATGCAGTGACATGCATGATCTCACATGCTCCTGATTGTCGACCTGACTTCTATCAGTTTGAAACATTTCAGAATATGAGCAGATCTCATCTTCCTTACTTAATTGGAAAATTTTCCCCACCACTGAACAGCCTTGCAAACACAGGTGAAGCTCCTTTCCAGATGCACAGCAATGTTACTTAGCAAGGGGAAATGGAAAAGGCAGATAGGAGAAGTGATTGAAGATTCCAAGGGAGGCTTTTTCTTACACAAATCTCAAATTTAAAATCTCACCTGTGTTGTACACCCAAACCATCCACCAGTTTTCACTTGGAAAGTAATGGGAGAGCCAATGGCAGAGGAAGCAGGAATAATAACCAATAGCAGTTTCAGTAAAGATGATCACATCAAAGGTAAGGACATAAAGCAATGCAAGAATGTTATAGCTTGTAGGAGTTGTCTTCCTCTTATTTCCAACCTAAGTTTGGGGGTGGTCCTTTTTGCCAACTTGTAGCAATTCTTGGAAGTTTGACCAATTCTTTTAAGAGCCTCTCCAGTGGTGCTTTGATGTTCAAGTCTCCTAGGCAGAACCATCTCAAAAGTATACTCTCTTTCCCTGAGAAGTATTTAAGCTATTTGGAGTATTCCATATGTGGCATTTTAACTTTTCCCTGTTCTTCCTTAGGCCTGCATTGGCAAGCAAGGCTGTTCATTTGCAATGCATTCCATACAGAACTTAGTTGAGCCATATGAGCCATGAGTCATATTGACACCCATTCATCCAGTATTTTCCATTTGGATTCTTTCAGGTCATCCTGTCAACTGTGGTTCACAGCACCCAACTCTAGTTGAGGTTACTTCCACACTGGCAGTTTAGTCTGGAATTGCTACCCTTTGCTCACTCACTTCATGAAGAATCCAGGGGTGGCTGTTGCCAAATCACTGCATTCCAGCATTTTTAAAAAAAAAAACTGTGGCCCTGGGGGTTTAAAAAACAAAACAAAACAAAAACATGCAATTGCAGCACCAGCCAGTCCCAGGAGGACTGGCAAAATACTGTGAGGTTTTGGGCCCATCTTTGTCTTTAATCAAGAGTTTCTTCCTTGCTTTTCCCATCTTCCTTGAGTGGAGATGGCTGGAGCCAGGGATCAGACTAGATGGCCTGGGAGACCCCTTCTGACTCGAGCTGTTTCTAGGTGTCAACTGCCCCCTTTATGGTTTTCTGGCTGATGAACAGCTTCTTAACTTCTGTGTAATATCAGCTGCTCTCTTCAATGGGTGGGGGGAGCATGCAGATAGCTTTAATCACTGTTTTCCTCTGATGTTTAAATGGCAAAATAGTGCTATTTTGTTATAAAAGAAAAATGAACTTATGTGAGGAAATAATTAAAGCATATTCATCTGACTGGGAAGCAGAAATGGAGTAAAGTACAATTAAGAAAGATTTTGATAAGGTGGCTACTACACTGAACAGAAACAATAAAAAGAGCAGAAGCTCCAAGGAGTAGACCTTTAAAGTTACATGAGGGTTTACTTGTGAGCAAACATTACCAATATGATGGCTATTTTATTTATTTATTTTTCAATTTATATCCTGCCTTTTTCCTACAAAGGGCTCAAGGCAGCTTACATTATTCTCCTCCTCCATCTTATCCCCGCAACAACAACCCTGTGAGGTAGGTTGGGCTGAGAGTCTGTGACTGGCCCAAAGTCACCCAGTAGGCTCCATGGCTGAGCAGCGACTAGAACCCAGATCGTCTGAGTCCCAGTCCCATGCTCTTAACCACGACACCACACTGGATATGCTGAATAACATAATGCTATGTGTAAAACCGCCATTTTGATTCTGCTTTCAACTAACTGCAGAAAAGCAATGCCTTGGCAGCCTCAAAGGGCCCCAGAGTAAAAGCAGCCCAAGCTCCCATTGAGGCATTCTGGATGCCTCAAAATCTCTTTTACTTTCCAGGTAATGCACCATTGTTAGGAATATGTGTATTTCAGAAACTTTCTGTTCCACAAAATGTCATCTATAGCGTTTTGTAACCATTAAAGACAAACACTTCCAGTTCCTTCAAAGACTGCTCCCAGAAAGCACAGGAACGCCACACAGTGGGTGGCATCCAGTGAAAAGGATGACATGTATCAGCCATTTTTACCCTATATGGGAAGCCCGAGTTACAGATTAATTTAACACTGCACAATCCCTTGCTTTTCAGAAATCAGAGATGTAAAAGGCCTCTGTGTGGGCATGGGAGAGACTCAAAAGGAAGTGACTGCTGGGCTCTGTATTTAATGAAGGCTCAAAGAAGCGCTCTTTTTGACATTTTGCAGACATTCTAGATCCTGTAAACATAAACATTTACTCATAACTGGGCAATCAAATATGTATGGCACTTGTCTTAAGATCATTGGTCAAATTCTCAAATAACTAAGCGTTTTCAGATTTCTTTTGTACTGCTAACCTAGAGGCTGACCATCCTAAGCCAGGCCAAGCAATATATCTCTCAGATATTGCAGGAGCTCTTAGAAGAATGATGCTAGGAGGAAGGAGAAGCCTGCATCCAGTTTTTCCACTTGCTTTTTAAAGAAAGGTCTATTTTTTATACTGCCCCAAAGCCTAAGTTCTCTGGGCGCTTCACAAGAAGTCACCACTGCTGGGACCTGCCACAACTGGATCATCAGCAGCCACCAGGTAAGTGGGATGGGAAGAAATAAAGGGCTTGGAGTCTCATGAAGCAGGCTCAAACCAAATACAGATTGGCTCAAAAATAAGCCAAGCTATTTCCCAATTTTGGTGGAAGTAGCTCAGTTTATTTCTGAAACAATCCAAACTGAGCTGAGGAAAGCTTGTCCCTCAGTACATGCTGGCCACCCATAGCATATCTCAGCTTTCCAAAACTGCACAAGAAAGTATGACGAAGGCCTGAAAAGCAGCAAATACAGGGGAAGGCTACAAAAAACTTACAGCTTACTCTTCTGGAACTTCCATAAACAAACACAATGGCTGGGTTCATACATAATGACAAACAAAGATGGTTTCCACTGTAGGATTGTCTATCATGTCTGAACCCAGTCATGGACTTACTGCATGGTACGTTTGATTTCCAAGAAACTACAGAGAGAAACAATGGTCTGTTGTGTGGTTTCTGCACTCACTTCGCCATGGCTTATTTCATCATCCAAACCTAGAAATGTGGTACCCATGTGGCTACTACAGGGACTGGTGGAAAGAACAGCAATTGCAGGAGCCACTCTAGTCATCCAGTCGCTATATGCAGACCTATAAAGGAAAGGTAGGAGATGCAGGGAGGAGAGGTGCACCCTGGAATTGAATTTCAGCCACAGAGGCTGATGGGATACATGTTGCCAGTGGGAGTATTGAGGCAAGAGAGCAGAAACCATGCCACTGTCTGCCAGCCTCACATAGTTAAGAAACCATACCATGCGAAAACTGTGTGCATGGTTTAGCAATACAGGTGAACACAACCTATCTCTAATATTAGCATTAGGAAATTCTCAGAAAAGTATGAAACTAGCATCATAGAACTGGAAAGGATAACTGAGACTCCTGGTTTAAGCCACTGCTCTGCAGCTAGGCACCCCACACATTGGTCTGCTCCCCTTCTCCACAGTAGCTGTCCACTGAAACCTCAAAAGACTCAAGCAAGCAGCGGAGACAGGTCTTGGGATACAGAAGACCCTAGGGTCCTAGCTAGTCTGACTGGAAGGAAAATTCATTGCTGACCTCCAATCCAGAGCATTAGTTGAAGATGCAGGTTGAACATGTCCCTCCAGTTAAGGTTCAAGTCCTGCCAAGACTCCAAAAGGGGTGTTCAAGGTGATGCACAAGTCAACTACTTTGAAGCTATCAGGGTGGCTCATTTAGGCTGCTTTTGGATTTTGAGGTACTCATTAGAAAAGGAAAAGTCTTCTAGAAATCTGAACAAGAGCTTGATGTGATGCTTTTTCTTGCTCATCAGTTTGGGAGCAGTCAGAGAAAAAGCACAAGGCCCAGTTGTGAGGGATATGGGAGATGTCTCATGCCTGGTGTGTACACTCAGGTGGGACGAAAACAGAATTGTCTGACCCAGTAGCCTCCATCTCACTGAAAACAATGTGGAAGGGAACAGGTGCCTGTCACAGTCCTCTGATTCTATTTCTCATGCATGCATGATCTTGCTTAAAGATTTAGAGCATGAGAATACCCCTGGTCACACTGGACTTGCTTTTAAACAGTGGAGAAGCTCATATAAGGCCGCAGTATGCAAAAACCTTATACACTAAGCTGTCCAGCAATAAAGCCAGAAGGCTGCCACTGCAAAATGGTCATAGTTTTACTACACAGGAAAGTTTGCAGAAAGTTGGGAAAAGTTCTTCATTGGCTCAGAACTGGGCCCAGATCACATGGGTGGCAAAGATAGGTTGTATGTTGGAGTGTGAGTACAAACTGAGGTGTGTAAAAGTAGTCATGCTCCTCTGCTTGAAAAGGCCCATCATGCTACAGGGGAAAGAAAGGGGGCACCAGGCAACTGGCGCATGCTGCTGGAGGAAAATCAGCCACAGCCAGAGGCAAACAGGGCAGATCAGGCAACCAGCAACCAGGCTGAGCAATGTCCGACTGCTGAGCCTTCCTCCTGGTCTGTGTACAGCAATGAGGCACAACAGGGCCCAGGGGCAAGCAGAGTCCTATCTAGCAAGAACAAGTGCTGGACTGTGCAGGCGGGGTCTCATTCAGTGCTGTGTTCTTGTGGCTGGTGTTGACCATGCCCAGGTTGGCATCCAGGCTCTCATTCATCTTCTCACAGATTACATCCACCAAGCGCTCAAAGACCTGCTTGACGTTGATGTTATCCTTGGCACTGGCCTCAAAGAATTCAAAACCTGAAAGGAGAAAGAGAATGAAGAAAAGCCACAGGGGAGCAGAAGGCGGCGAAAGGAGGAGTCATTTTGTGGGGAGTGGGGGCAGGAAGCAGTTTAGTCTGGAGTCATGTGAACAGGAGAGAGACAGGACAAACCTAGCTCATCAGCAAGTCTCTTGCTGTCCTCCGTGGGTACCACACGCTCATCCTCCAAGTCGCACTTGTTCCCAACTAGAATCACTTGAGCATTGTCCCAAGAATAAGTCTTGATCTGAGTTGCCCTAAGGGAGGGCAGAAAATATCTTTGTCAGTGAAATGAAATCTCAAGCAAGGTTGCAGCTCCTCCCCAGTGTCCTCTCACCAACAGCTTCCTGTTCAGCTGGTATGACGGTGTAGCACTAAGCCAGAAGCATGTGAGGTAAATTTCTGAGGCTGGTGTGTGTGTGAATGGTGCAACATCTAATTTGCAGTGCAACCCCCAAATTCCCAGTCAGTTTGGTGGACTAGCACAGATGAGTGCACTGGCTTAATCAGATGCCATGAAACACCAGCTCCATCTGTTGAAACCTCAGTGAACCCTCCATGCCAATTTGCCCCAGTGTGCTCTACCAAGTACTCAGTGGCTAATTTCTCTGAAGAGGCCATCCAGATGAGAGGAGAACAGCAGGGGGAACTGCAGAGCTGCAGCACTGGAGTGGGGTAACCCAATCTTTGTTCTGAATGCACAATAGGAATTCACAGCATGTCAGGTGGTCAGAGGTTTCAAAGGCCTTGGCAGTGTTTGCAAAGCCTCCAACTCCTCAGTAACATCAGGACAGACTCTACCAGCTTTGTTTACCTAAAAAGGTGGCAGTGGAATCGAAGCAAGTCACTTGTACAAGGGAAGCCATTTTCTACCAAGCAGGACTACTTTTTCAGCTAGCTCAGTGCTGTCTCCTCCCTGTGTGAGTAACATGGTGCCTGCAGACCCCTTCCTCACCTCCGCCCACACACACCAGCCCTGGTTTTGTCATTGCTGCTTCTCCTTGCCTCTGCAGTCCCCACAGCAGCCAGGAAGCAGGAAGCTGGCTGATGGTGGGGCACTTGCCTTTCAGCCTGCCAGCCTCCCGCATCCTGCAATGGTGGAAATCTGGAAGAGGAGGAGGAGTCAGAAGCTTCAGCGGAAAATCTGGAGGGAGTGGAAGTTGTGGCAGGCAAAAAAATGTGGTGTTGGGAAGAAAGGAGGACAGGAATGGGGAGAAATAGGGAAGGCAAGGTAGGAGAGAGAGAATCCATGGAAGGTGGGCAAGAAAAGAGGTGATCTGAGCCAGGGGTGGCAAGAAAACAGAGAATCCAGGCAACTGGGACAAAAAAAAGAAAGAAACTCAAAATAAATGCCTGTGGGAACAAATGGTCTATTCTGAGTTTCAGTGACTCTCCCAGGCAGAAGAGTCTTGTTAACCAAGAAATTTTAACTGGGAACACTAAAAACTGAGCTTGGAATCTTCCACATGCAAGCCCTGTGCTCTGCCACTGAGTTTTGACACACTGGCTGTGGCTCTGAACACTTCCATAAATAAAAAAGCATGTGCGTGTTAAGGATGTGCGAGGAATCCGTGTCAGGGTGGGAATTCCAGGATCAGATTCCTCAGGCTTGGCTCTCCGGGCTCCAGTCCCCCTTGCAGCAGCCCCAAGTCTGAGTTCTTGGCAAGCACTCCCAGAGTATGCAGGGCACTTGCCAGGAATTGAGCCCCACACTACCGCTATTGGCAGCAGTGGGCAGAGAGGAAGTTGGCTGCCGGGAACAGCACTTGGCACACGCACTCTCAGCACCACTCTTCCACAGAGCCATCACTGCTGGCAGTAATGGGCAAGAAAGTAGGTGAGTCACCACCAATGATTCCCAGCTCGCAGCACTGTACTTCACACTGCTGCCTCTGGCAGTAGCAGGAGGAAGAGAAGGTTGGTCACTGTGAACTGCCTGGTGCTCACAGTGACCTTCCTCCCCTCTCACTATGGCAGCAACACAGAAGAGTGGTACCGCGAGTGCAAGGCAGGTAGCAGCAGCAGTGCTGCAGAAGAGCAGCGTTCAGGTTTGAGACCCAGGTGCCATTCATGATAAATAACCTCCTTCCCCACCCGCTATGGCCAGCTGTGGAACTGAGACTCTTGGCTTGGTTTGCTTTGCACGACTGGGCTGAGCATGGGAGGATCCTAGAGGGATGGATTTCAAAAGGGTTTGTCCCAACCCTAGTATGTGTTGCCCTGTCTAAGAACTGAACTCAACTGAGTAGAAGGCAGTACTATACATCTGGAATCAAGAAACATTGGTACAAAAGCTGGGTATGTATGGGTCATCCTTCCCCACCTCCAGATGTTTGGGACTTCAACTTTCTCCAGCATAAGCCAACCTGTTGAATGCTCAAGATTGCTGTCCAAAACATCTGGATACTCCAGGTTGGAGTAGGCTGACATGGGCAATTTTGAAAGAGCATCCTTCACAGCGACTATGTCCACACATCCCAGTTCTTCGTTACAGGCAAAAAGATTGGAAATCCATTCCCTGGGAAATGAGAAGTCACTGTCCCAATCCAAGCCCAGAATTCTGTGCGGCATTGCTTACCAGTCTTGTACAGCACTGAAGGATTCTTGGTTGGAAATGTCATACATCAGTAAGAACCCCATAGCTCCCCTGTAATAGGCTGTTGTTATAGTTCGGTATCGCTCTTGGCCAGCTGTGTCCTTAGAGAAAAAGAGGGGAAATGGTCAATACGGGCACTTCCCTTTAGGGCAAAGGCCACAGGTAGGAGACCTTTCACCACCCTGTATTCCCCACTGTAAGGAACCAGAAGAATTCCTTGATCAGAATGCCATCTGGCACACCCACTCACAGTGCCCCCCTTCCACATCCTGCAGCCACTCTGGGCAGCTGCACCTGACAGGGAAGGTTACTGGTTGCACAATCAGGAGCTGGTGAGTGTTTGGAGAGTACCTCTTAGAAACATAGAAACAGAGCGAGTCAGAAGGGGCCTCCCGGGCTCAGCTTAGCTTGATTTGCAAGACTGAGGAGTGCAGGAGAGGGTTTGTCCCAGCCATGGTTGATGCTATGTAGGAAGCATCAACATTGCTCTTACAACCACTTCCTTTTCAAAACCCCCTTCAAATGGCTAGTCTGGGTATAGCTAGTCCTTGAAGCTTGACACCTTCAAGGACCCAGTAGGCAGGAAGACTCCCGCCTCATTACCCCTTCCCCAGTTTAGAGCTCCCTGAAGTCTACCTAAAATCCCAAGCCCAAACACATTCTGAAAATACTATCAGAATTGTGTATATGGATCACCTTTTTGATGCCAGGGAAACACTCTTTCTATTAAATATCATTTAATTAGAAGCACTTTCATTATTCGCCCATAAAATGCTATAATCTACTCTAATAATTTAGGGTGAAGGCAGGCTGAAAATCCAAGGGATAGTATAGTACTTTAGACACTCCTGAAGATTCCACAGGCATGATCAACATACAGTCTTTGTAGCTAAACAAGTGTATTCAAACAATCCTGGATGTGACTTCTCTGCTGAAGGTGGTGCAAGCTAAAATACAGTTCGAATCTGGGATGCAGAGAACTAGTTGATCCAACATATGGAGACTGAGAAAAGCTGGAGTGACAACACAGCTTGAACCTTGGGGTGAAATTGGAAAGCTGTTATTAAGGAAGTTTCCTTGCTGAAGCTAAGCAGGTCTGGGGCTCTGCTGTGCTTGGAGGAGAGGCCACCTGGAAATCTCATGTAGCCACCATGAGTTCCACAATGGAAGAAAATCTGGATCTAAGTGTACTAATACATACATAAATAAAAAGCACAGGATTATTCAATGATCTCTGTGGGGAAAACCCTAAATATTTTGCAGTTCTGCTTTTAGATAGAACCTGCAACCATTACTGTCTACGATGGCACAGGACTGCTGCCTTTTTATCTACAGGCAGCTTAGACAAATGACAGCCAGTGCAACTGGGGTCTTCTCTTGTTATGTTCCTAGACTCTTTGGTTAAAGGCTTCTTCTCTCTTGGAAGTTGGTCCATTTCTGTACTGAGCTTGATGATACAAAATTGGACAGGAGAACTAATACTCTGCAAGACAGAAACAAAATTCAAAGTGTTCTTCACAGATTGGAGTCCTGGGTTGAAAACAGTAGAATAAAATTTAATAGAGATAAATGCCAAGTTCTGCACCGAGGAAAAAGAAACCAAATGCTTCATTACAAGATGGTGGCTACTTGGCTCAGCAATACTACAAGCAAAAAGGATATTGGAACTGTTGTAGATCACAAGCTGAATATAAGTCAAGAAGGTGATGTGGCTGCAGAAAGGGTGAATGTTCTTTCCAATATCCATTAATATTCCATAATTGATGTTGTAAGCCGCCCCGAGGCTTCGGCAAGGGGCGGCATAGAAATGTTTTAATAAATAAATAAATAAAAATAATATTCAAATTACATGAAGTACTAGTTCTTCTCTACTCAGCATAGGTTAGACCTCATCTAGAGTACTGCATCCAGTTCTGGGCACCACACTCCAAGATGCAGACAAACTGAAAAAGGTTCAGAAGAGGTCGACAAAAATAATCAGGTGGAAACAAAGCCCTCTGAGGAGAGATTGAAACAACTGGGCATGTTTAGCCTTAAGAAGATTGAGGGGAGATATGACAATCTTTCAACTACTTACAGAGTGCTATCACAAAGAGGAAGGCCAGGATCTCTTCTCAGTCACACCAGAGTGCAGGGCACAGAATAACAGGCTCAAGTTACAGGAAGCCAGGTTCCAGCTGAAGACCAGGAAAAATTTCCTGACCGTTACAGCAGTATAGCAATGGAACTAATTATCTGGGGAGGCTGTGGGATCTCCCACACTGAAGGCATTCAAGATGACACTGGACAGCCATCTGACAGGGATGCTTTAACTTGATTTCCTGCAAGGTGAGCAAGGTGTTGGACCTGATGGCCTTCCTGGCCCACTCCAACTCTACTATTCTATCCTTCTATGAACTCACTAAGAAAAGGACATGCATTTCCCTGACCACACTCAACACTGAGAGGACTATAGAGACATGCTATGTTCCAATTATAGGCAGCTAGTGGGTGTTCTAGGAGCACAGGTTTTTTCCCAGCTTACATTAGCCTCACTCTCCCAAGAATATCACCTCTCGTTTTTAAAACCAAGCTTCTAGTTGTTATGGCTGCTAAAATAAACTTGAGCATGTGAGCAATGTCTCCAGAGATCTCAGAAGACAGAAGGGTAGCTAAATACTATTATCACTGGTGGGAAATGCATACTTTTATTGCCTTCCACTGCTCCTTCTCCCTCCTCAGGAAAAACAAGAAAATTGAAAATTAGGCATGTAAGCAGAACTTAGATTGTCTAGGTTTTAATGCATTATTGCATGGGTAGGGATCAATGGAACTGTCTGTTCCATTTTATGTAATTTTCCCAATTTTTCAAGCATAAGTTTGTTCCAATCCATTTCTACATCAGATTGCAAATGTTCTTAAAGTTCACACAGACATTCAAATGTGATTTCATGAACATGAAAATTCATACCCAGCTTGGTATGCAATGTACCCCAATTTATGCCATTTTGCAAGCAATTTTACATAATAACTGCTTTTTAGTGTGCTAGTTCTACAATGTACACACTTTAATACAGTTTCCCCTAGTATAAACATAAATAAATTAGAGAACTGCATCACAAAATTTGGAGTAGTGTGAAGATCAAGGGCTCGTTGCTGGGCAGCAATGCTTTGAGAACTATTAATTCAAGAGGTGTGGAACCAGGTTGCTCCATATTACAGTGCAGACCAGAAACATTTCTCTCCCGTCTGCATCCATGGGTTACTTACAGCTATGGCAGCTCCTGCCCTTAACTCCCAGGGGTTCTTACCCAAATCTGCAGCTTGACTCTCTTTTCATTCCTGTAGACAGTCTTTACTTTGAAGTCAATGCCCACAGTGCTGACAAAGGCTGATGTGAAGGAGTCATCGGCATATCGGAATAGGAATGACGTCTTGCCTACACTGCTGTTGCCAATGATGAGCAACTTGAACATGTAGTCAAAGTTCTGGTCAGCAGCATCCTTGGGCATCTGCCGGGTGTCATTTGCAGAGGCCATCTATCTGATGGGAAGGAGGCAGTTAATGAAAATGAAGCTTCAAGGCCCCACATCCTAACACCTTTCCCAGGGCTTGCAGATAGATAATAGGGATTTGCTAGGGCCCAGAAGTTAGGAAAAAGACTAAATTCTCCCTGAATGGCATGCTCATCCTGTACATAAGGCACCCAAGAAGGTCAGAGTTAGTGTGAGTTAGTGTGAAGAATCTATCAGTTCACACACCTGGCCTCTTCTGGGAGAACAAGCCACTCTGAGGTTGCCTGAGACCTTCCTCTCAAATCCTGAAGCCAGCAGAATTTGCACACCAGAGTTGTGGGGTTTCAAGTGCCTGTCTCAGGGCAGCATCAATGGTGACTCTCCAGAATCTGCCCTATGGCAGATATATCCACACTGGTCATATACATGAGTAATTCCATTAGGCATTAGCAGTAGTTCTATGGGGATTGCTGCAGTAGACAGAGAGCACATTATATTATAGGCGATAATACAAATTATATACTTTATAGAACCGTGGGCCCTCTGCCATCCATTCCTGCAAGGTAGCACATCCATACCCCATGCCTCCAGTTATCCCTGCAGGTTATAAACTTACCAATGAGTATCAGGTTCAGTTCTAAAAAGCAGAACCCTCTGGGATTAAAAGTACTGCTGGGTAAGGGGCATAGCACTGTTGGGAATCTGGATGGTGATGATTGATGATGATTTTCATTTCTATATTATCCAAGAGCTGAAACTCTCTGGGCAGTTAACAACAATACATATTTTATGATAAAATACAACACCAAATACACACACAATAAAAAGTATAAAAATTCCATGCAAAATTTAAAACAGAATTTAGAACAATTTGAACAACTGGAACAAGTTCAATACAATTATACTTGTTTTTTTAAGCTGACTTATTTTGCCCCAGTGTGTCATTTAAAGCCATTCAAGATGCAATCCTATGCATGTTAGGCAGAAAAAAGGCCAACAACTGCTGTCTAAAATATGTCTTAAATGCCTCAGCACAGAGGGCAGCTGTATCATTTAGCACACATCCTAACCCTGGCTCCTGTGCTGTGCTTGCTTAGTCATGAATATTGTCTCTCTCCATTACATACAAAGGCACGTACTTACTGCCTCACATGTTTGGAGCATGCATTGTACAGCAGCTGCCCTGATTACAGTGCACTTGCAGCTTCATCAGCGCTGAAAGGTGGTCACTAAGCAGCTGCCACTAAAATGCATAGCTGGCTACTCCATGCTCTCTCTTCTGGCTCCCCTGGAAGGGAAACTGAATGGGCTGTCTGCATGCTGTCATTTCAATGGAAGCAGCAAAATAAAACACAGTCTTACTTATTCCATTGCCTTACATGTCACTAGGTTTATTTTTTAAAGCACTCTCACCCGGCAGCCAGTTTCTGTTTTACCAATTGCACATGTTATCTACTCCAAAGTTATAAATCCATGAAAAAATGTGGAAGGAGCAAACACCATGTTTTTCCACTGCTTCCACATTTACAGATAGCTATATACAAATAACCACACAATGAAGGGACACAAAGATGAGCAAGGCCATATGAACAGTTGGTGGCGCTCGAAGCAGCATTTCTTCCTCTTCTCTTTGAGGGTAAAGCCATAAAGAAAGCCATGAAGAAAATGGGGAGAAGGAAGGAGCGCAACAGCCAGCTCTTTCTGCCAAACCTCATTCAGAGCTGCAAAGTTCCAAATCCTCAACCACATCTGAAATTCCTCCTCAGGTATGTCCCTGAGGCTGAAGAAACACCCACTGCTGCTTGCTTCCCTTTTGGGAAAGTAAAAGAGCCCCTGCCATGCCTCCTTGACTGTCTCACCCAAAGGATGACATTTCTTGGCAACCTGGTAAGTAAATCATGTAACATCATGCCTGATTTTGAAAGTTCACCTAGAAAGTGTCCCATCCAGGAGTTACTTTCACATGATGGGCTCAGAGCAGCAACAGCCTGAGGAGAACCCTGCTCTGGAGACAGCTGAAAAGATATTCCTAACAGGGAAACTGTGACAACACCAGCGATTATTATTTTTTTTCTTAGGCAGGGAGTCTCTGGCACCTTAAAGTAAGCAAAAGCTGATTGCTGCCTGCAAACTAGCCACTTGCAAAATGGTCACCATCATGACAGATGGCACATCATCTTGGAGGAAGGACAGGACACACCTACTACCCCTCTACCATAAGGTAGCTCAGAGAGAGGTGCGTTAATAGGATAATGGCAGAGAAATCGGCTTAAGGAACTCATTCACCCAGACAAGATAAAGTACACAGATGGGACAATGAGATACCACTTCAGTGGGGGCTACTCCAGCCTTTAGTGAGCCCAAGATGTGGCAAGAAAGCAGGAATATCCCTGTCAATTGTACCCCAAATGGCAGCTCATTTATTTTTTTCCTTTAAAACTCAATGAAAGTTATTGAAAACTGAAATAAATTGGCATCTATCTGTGCAGTCCTTCTCTGGGTTTGGATTCTTGATCACACTAGTTTAGGGGATGGGAACTCGCAAGAAAGGCTTTTTTGGAGGGACAGGAGATTTTGGCAAAGCCTGAAAATGTCTACTAGCAGGTTGCTTGTGAATGTCAGTCAGGTGTTGGCACCTTATAGCCCTCTAGATATTTTGGCCTAAAACTCCCTTGGCACTGCCAATGGTGAGGGATAATTAGTATTGCAGGCCAAAACACCTGAAAGTTGTTGCACACCCTGATGTAGGTGTCTCAGAGGTTTTGTTAATGCAATCTGAGTATGAAATGCTGAACTGTCTCTAACTCCTGTTACATATATGAAGTTTAAGGGGTCTGACTGTTTTACCACTTGTGTTGCAGACTCTTAAGGGGGGCAGGAGGGTTCTTCTGGACAGTTGTGAAGTAGGGTATGGGCTCTTTCCCTGGCATTTCTTAGCAGGTATGAGTGATGGTGAGTTGGCTCAAAACAGCTGCAGTGCAGGACCAACAGTGAAGCAGTGCGCATCTTCGGGGAAATGCCTGAGGACCCCTTGCAATTCTGCAAAGCCCAAGGCTCAGTGTTATCTCAAGTTATCTTGGATGACTCCAGGCACATTAGGTAAAGACAGTAGACTATTTTATTGTACTGATCAGCCAGATCAAGATGAAGTACAAGATGAAGATCGAGAAGTGTTTCTGCAGGTATCTGTTGTTTAAAGCACTTCTCTTGAAGTCCATATTGTAGGGACATACAAGAATTTTGTTTCCATTCACAGATTATGGAATATGTCCCATTTGTAATCCTTCATATGAGCAGGGACACAATTCTCGGGAAATACTTCTAATTTTACAAACTTGAGGTCACATTCAAAAGTGTACCTTATGCAAATGTAGAATCTGCCCAAATGAATTTTCACACTTTAGCTTCTAGGAGAAATGCACATTTTCATTTGCAGCAAAAAAAGAAAAAAAAGTGTAGTTTTAAAACACACATTTTTTCAATTGAGAAAACTGGCACTTAAAAATATGTCTCTCCTGTTGAAAGATGCACTTTTTTGCTGATTAAAAAGGGCATTTGCATCTGGGAATGAAAACAAGGTGAAATTAGCTTGGAGGAAGAATTTGGAGAATCTCAGCAAGCTCAAACATGGCATGTTTGCATGTCTCTACCACATTGTGCCCGTATGCTGGCTCCACCACCTGCAGCTCTGCCTTTTCCTCTTTTAAAAATTAGTAACATGATTTCTATCCAATCTAATTGTTTGCTAGCTGTACCATCATTATTACATTGTATGGTTTTATGATTACACTGTATGCCGCTCTGCATACGTTCAAGAAAAGAGCAGGATATTATATTTCTGGCTTGTAATGAAGCACTTGCCTAGTACTCATGGGTGAGAAGGAATGCCACGCAGGCAAGCAAGCGTGCCCTATCTCCTCTATGCCTAGTAGAGAACGCACTGGAGGAGGGACAGCGCTCTCCATTCCTCCTCTGTCAGGACTCACCAGGCTACTTAAATTCAACTAAAAATGGTAGGCTAGTCACTTTTGTGGGCTTACTTACAAGGCTGACAGAATTATATTACTATGTCAATATTGACCAGTCTTTCCAATAAGCTAGTGATGTACATGGCTGAGTGTGTGCACTACACTTGATCCTTCCCTTCTTGGCATGCTTCCCTTAGCAAAGATTGCAATCCAGCCAGACTGACTGGTCTGACTCTTTGGCAAAAAGTCATTCAGAAAAGCCACCTTTCTGGTTCTTGAAGCTTGATGAGCAATTAGGCCTACTGCTTCCCAGACTGCTGAGCAGAAGAAATCCTTGTTTAGGATCAAAGAAATGCAGGGTTTAGCACTGAATTCTTAACCCTTTCTTTGCAATTATAACTGACTTTCTACTTCCCACTCTAACACAAGGCTTTAAGTTTGGCTAGATAACCAGTTGAATAGAAGGACATTTAATCAGATAATACTTTTATTGGTTGAAAATCACATTTTGCAGCTCACATTTTGCTACTGTTTACTTCTAAATCAGCTTTCCACAAGCTGACGCCCTCCAGATCTACCATTCTGGCTGGGAATGATGGCAGTTTCAGTCCAGGCACCAGGTTTGGGGAAGGCCATGTTAACTGACCTCTGGAAGTAATAAGAGGATCTTAACACATGCCTAGTATGCAAAAATCCAGGTTCCAATCTATCTTTCCACTTCAACAGGAGAAGAATTTTCCCCAAAGCCTTGGGGAGCAAGATGGATTCTTGGTCTAATTTCACTATCATGCATCTTCCTAAATATCCCTACCCTCATAGAGACAATTTGGATACATACTTCCTTAACAAAAGTTCATTGTAAACAGGAATTACTGCTAGAAAACACAGCTAAGTTTATGGGCATCCCAAGAAACCACTTTTAAGGGTCCTGGAGTGACATGGTTGCTTACAGTGGTCAGATAAAATAGGCATCTTTTACCACCAGAGGACCATTCTGATATGAAGTACAGGGAGGACACCCAAATGCAAATAGGTCATAATTTATTTCTGAAAGAATCATGCTGTGTACAGAAGTGATGCCCTGTTAGCAAAATGACACAATCCAAGATCTAGGGGCCACATACTGTGGATTGTGCATGACCTAATCTAATTGGCACCCAGCAGAGTGGAGAGGGGCACACCTACAGAAATTGTATCTGGCTTTCCGCTGTTAATTGAACAAAAATCCTGCACAACTACAATGAGTTTATCGTTAAAGTCTATTTAACTGAAATGGGCAATTTTTGTTAGACAAGATTCCTGTCTAACAAAACCTCTAACCTACAGTCTGCAAAGAAAGGTCTCCACTGCTGCTTGAAATCTCTTCAATGAGAGAAAACTTTCAGAAAGTTTGTTTGTCAAAGGTGGCTGACTAATACTTGTTCCTGCCCTTTAGGTGATGCAGATGAGGAACTCAAGCTTGCGGCTGGGGATGGGAATGGGGAGAGAGCACAAGTTCTGCACAGTCGGCCTACAGTGTCCCTTAGCTGCAGCTCAGAAGTGTTAGAAGCCAGGTTTCCCCCTTTGCACTTTCAAAACAACAGACCATTCTTTGGAAAAGCTATTTATTCTCCAGTGTACATCCAGTAAACCCAAGCAACAAAGAATGCGTCTCTGAGCATTCACAGAGTATTGTGTTGAACCCAATCTAGCAAGTACTTCTGAGGGTTCTATTTCTGAGAACCCGCCTTCTCTGGGAGGATTCTCTGAGAACCCTGGGCCCCATTCCACCTTCTGCAAAAAAGTTGGTCAATAAATGTAATAAGTAAATAAAATGACTGGTAAGCAGTAGCCTCAGCCAAAAAAAATCCCATCTCCTTCTAAGGAGGAAAACCTGTTCTATCATGAACACCCCATGATATGGCAGAGTATTTCAGAACAAGGAACTAATTCCTCTATTGCCCCAAATCCTGTGTTACAAACTTCACTGCTTTTATTACTCCAGCAGGGTTGCCACCTTTCCTAGAAGAAATTCTAACATTTCTCATTTATATATGCTGAAGGAGGTAAATATGGGCAATATTTAAATATGATCTCTGAAAGTCACCTTAAAAATAATAGCAACCAAAAGGCCTTGACTCTAAAGCACCTTGTCCCCTTGCTGAGAGTGGGTTTATTTCAGGATAAGTCATTCCAAGATCCAAAGTTCTTTCTGACTTTCTGACAAAGTTCTACAAAATCTCATTCCCTGAAAACTTGTTTTTTTTTAAAGGTTCCCCATGCAAACTAAGGGGGCTTGCAACAGGAAATTTAGAATTGTTTATACTTAGAAAGTTTGACCATGTCCTGATTTACACATGCTTACTGGTATGAGTAGCCAACAAAAATCAGTACAATGGAGTATTGTAGAGTTTTATTACTGTTTTAAGCAAGTTCTATGGATGCCTGGGAATGCCTGGAGGCATTTTTCTTGCTAGAAAGGTGGGGTTCAATTAAAATCAAAATCTCAGTTATTACCACAATTAGGATTGAAGAAACCTATGAGCATAAGAGCCAATGGTGACTTTATCATATCAATAGCTCCTAAGCCTAGATAGGCATAGTATTTGCATAGACATTCCTAACTTTTGGCTATCATAAAAAGATGATTTTGGGGCCTGCTCCAGCTGGAGCTCTGCCTACCCCTCCAACACAA